TTTTTTATAAGTTTGAAAATATTGTTGAGGCTTCATGTGAAGTACCCCTGAAAATCAAAATACCCATTTCAAACTTCAGGTCCTTAAGATCTGCCAAATCGATCGGGAAATAACACTTCTGGAAAAAATGGCCTGAGCGGTTTAGGAGCTAGCGTTGACTACAGATGAACAGAGAGTTTGCCGTCAATCTAATTCTAGGTATCAAAGACCAACAAAACGTAGATTCTGACTACACAACATGTTAGAGGAAGTAATTTAGAACATATAGGAGCACGCTTTATCCACTTTCTCGTTAACAGGATTCCACAATACGAGTTTTTCTGACAAATAATCGCCGATTTCTGCCTCAGCATTACAATACTCTCTTTCTGCGTAATTACTTCGCAAAGCGAGAAACTAAAAAGAGATCGCGTTACAGATAAATTTATTCCACCACATGTCACATTCTTTAGGTGGAGTCAATAATTTAAAGACAAAGATATATTTTATTTCATATTTCATGAGACCCTAACAGATCTCTGAGTGTTGCACCTTCCTAGATTCCAGATTTTGCTTCCTACGTTTTTTGCGTGCCATATGAACTATAGATTAATTCCCGCAAACCATGTGTGCTGTTCTACAATCGCTCTCATGAATCTTAATAACCAACTTAGTTTCACACTAGTATTTCCAGGACGATGATAACAGCGTAAAATTGTTTCTTTGTGTCACTTTTATTATCTTTTATTGAAGAATATTTACATATTTTGTACTGAGGCGCATTGGCGTCGTTCGCTTTTGCAAGTCGCCCAAATACACTATATGCCGAATATGCCAAACATTCACTATATGCCGAATACCGCTTGCCGAAAAGCAAGTATTGGTTACTGTTAATAATGAATTCGGCAAGTGTTGAATTAATGTTCTCACCTTTTCCAGCTCCACGTCCATATTTCGAATGTGCGTACCCATATTCGTCCATTCTGGCAAGCATTACAACTTGCAACTTTCAGATGTTTTAATGAAGGTGACACAGACATTTTTCTAAGAGTGTGTGCTTCGTTCGAGCAAATAATTTAGAGCAAAAGTTTCCCATTTCCGGCTGTACACTATCTACACTTTCGAATATTGCTACGAGTTAATACTGCAAAACTACAAATTTGAAAATAGATTTGTGTATGTGTCCCATGTTCATTGGAATCCCTGATTTTTCAAAAATTGCAAAATTGCAACTTTTTGGGGACGTCTTCCTACAACTATAATACTGAAAAAATAAATGAAATTTTATTTTTTAACCATTTTTTTCTCTAAATGTATCAAATTTTTTTCTTTAAATTTTCTCCTCGAATATAACAAGGGCCAGTAAAAATATTACGCTAGTCCCTTTTTTAGCGAATTCTCCGTATTTTCGAAAGTTCCAAAAAATTAACTTTTCAGAAGTACTAAATTGAAGATAAAGAATTGTACGTTGGACAAAGTCTGTTCCAAAAACTTAGAACTTAAATAGGTCATGTACAATTTTTTTAAGCGGGTATTTTTCGCGTAATTTGTGTTTTAAATTAATGCAATTTATATAAAAATAATTTTCTCAAAAACCGCTCCAATTCTTTTTTCCACGGATAGAAGAAGGGGTGCTTAAAAGATTGGTGCAGGTCTCATTTTCATTGAACTTTCTAGATTTTCAAAAATTGTAAAATTAGGAATTACGCGAGAAAGTATGTACCACTAGTTCAAACTTTGTGCTTAAAGTGGTCACTCCTAACGCAGTGACCTGCAACTTTACTTCGCTCGTCTATCGATAATTTAAGTTCTCTTTACTGTGGAACTTAAAACATTTAAATGAGGTTACCTTCCATAAAAGACAAGTATTTTTAATATAAAGAGGAAAAAGAGTGATTAAATCAAATTAAAGAGATTTTTTAAATTCTTCATTTAGAAACAATCACAACTACCAAGACTACTGCAACCAGAAGTGGAGTTGGTTTCATTCATTAATTTGATGACTTTAACCATTCTAAATGTTGGACAGTCGAACATCCACGAATAAAAATACACTAATAAATATAGTTATCGCTGATCCAATCAAATTAGTCAAAACTAAACCGGAGTTGCGAAAAAAATAGAAACGAGTGCCAACCAGCCCCTATTAAATCTTCTTTGGTTCCTTGAGAAAAAGTGAATTCTGCCGGTCCGGATGGCCAAGATCGCTAAGACAGTAGTGCCGTAGCGATCTTGGACCGAAGTGTCGCGGGCTCCAGTCCCGCCGCGGTTGTATTTTGTCCGTCCTTTCACACCCCAATCATGATCATATCGTGTCATCCTCATAGTTACCGTACCGTTCATTACACAGTGGTCGATAATGGCCTAGTAGGTGATACGGCCTTAAGTAAAATGAAAAAAAGTGAGCTCTGTTTTCTAATGTATTCTCGTGGACTGTGACATTTCATTCTCAGCGGTATCAAATATTTCCTCCGCTTAGTTATGAAATTATTTGTTTAAATCGTTGTGTCTGCGGCAGATCCTAATTTAGTCTCAAAGATCTTATTCAAAAAGGATTTATTGATGCGTCACCATTTTTTTCAATGTCATTAAAAATTACGTAAACCTAGAACATTTTACTACTTTTTTTCGGTTTAATAACTCATTTCAATAAAAATGAGCCCATGTCCCTGAATTGAATTGGACTTTTCGAGGAAAAACGGTGAGTCCCTCCTCAAAGGCTAGGTGTTTATACATGCACGTTCTAAAAGAATCAAATTTTGAACTTATGTTTTCTCCCCACAATTAAGGTATAATTAAATTTAAATGTATTTTTTTAATATGAAAAATAGAACATCCTGTTTACTATGAATATTTTAGACAACTTCATTCCATAAATATGTATAAGTTTGTAAGATTTCGAAATATCTCATTTTCGCTCCACAGTGGTTTCACCCCTGGGTTCTTGTGTCCATGTGCGCGGGAGGTGAAAACGTCACGTATGTCAACACTAACACTAAGTAACCCTTTTTAAAGGTTTGAAAACACTGCATTTCCTTCAACAAATCAATTATCACAGTACTACACCCATTTCGCCTATCGGAAGCTTAATGATGTCGTAGCACTGGCCTTCGGGTGCAGCCATGGTAAAAAGTACCAGTATTCTCCCTTCCGAGGGCGCGTGTGCGGCGCGCGTGCCGGGTGAAGCCTTTTCGTACGATTCGTCACTCTCGAAAGATGTTAGATAATTTTCAGAGTGCATGTGCCAAGCTTTCGTGAAGTTTGCAGTGCAAAATGTGCGTATTGTTTATTCGATGTCTCACCTTGCGAACAGGCCTTTTGTTTCTCAAGTCAGGAACTTTTCGTCTCCCACTTCTTTTTCAAATATCTGAGGTCAATAAAAAAATGTCGTTGATTCCTCATTCGACTGGATTTGTTTCTAGCGTGCGTAGAAAAATAGCTGTTCGCTCGTTCTTCTTGTTCGTGCGAGCACGTGTAGCAACGCACTCGAGGAGAACGTACCCTGGAGCACCCAGCTCGTATCCCAGCTCGAAACTGCACACCCTCCCAGGGTCTGATATCGTTATAACATGCCGAAGAGTTGCCATAGCAACAGACGCAGCCAATGGCTGAGTTGGAAGAGTCGAATACAGACAGAGTATCGATATTCTCCGTCTCTTCTACATACAGGTTGTAAAACTACTGCAGAAACGCCGGAAGACTTATTTAATGTGGAAATACAAATGGCATTCAAGAAATATGTGATTTTGAAGTAAAATAAACAATTTAAATTTTTAATTACAAAAATAATGAATGTGCGTGATAATTCATTCACACACATGTCCAAAATCGGGTACAAATGTTTTCAAACATCAGGTAATCATGTAGGACATTTGAGATCTTACGAAATTTTTCTGCTGCTAGCAGTTGTTTTTATTATTTGCTTATTTGTTGTTTATTAATTTATTTTATGTGTTCTTTCTTTCTTCCTTCCTTTCTTTCTTTCTTATTTATTTATTTATTTATTTATTTATTTATTTATTTATTTATTTATTTATTTATTTATTTATTCCATTGTTCTGTTCTTCCTTTCTTTCTTCCTTCGTGAAGTGAAATGTCAGGTTTTATTATAGTCAACGCAGTTATAACAGCAACATTGAATGAATGAATGAGCCTAGTGGGCCCCATAAAGAGCAAAGACCTCCTGCAAGAGTGGAGAAAAAACAACATAACAAAAGTTTATTTTTCTTATGCACAATTTTGAGCATATATACATTAATGGTGAATCCAGAGGAGGCAAGGGGGCTGTGACTCCCACCCCTACCCTATCTCAACATTTATTTGTAATTTTACTCAATTTATTTAAAGCAATTACCAGATATACATCTCATCATATATCTAAAGTAATATTTTTGTTATGAATGTACTCGTTCTTTTATTTCAAACTAACAATTAAAAATATTATTTAAATATTAAATATGGAGGCTCCGAACTGAAATTGCTCCCCAACTCCCGACGAAATATTTTCTTGATCCACCCCAGTTTATAATTAATGTCTTGAATGAAAAAAGAATTTGGGAATCAACATTTTATAGTAAATATTCGAGCATTCGTATGTATTCAGGGCCTACTACTAGGCCATGATATATTCGTAGATTCGTCATAAATTAATAACTTGTTGGCAATCCCTCACTTAAAATTATTTAAAGGACCCGTGAGGTTCTTTGATAATATCTTATAATATAATAACTAATAATTAATTTTTAAATCTAATATATAATTTATTTTAGTTTATTCAAACTTTGTGCCTTGAATCTAAGTACAAGTAATTGGCACTTTTATTAGACTGAAATTCAAATCGGGGGATGATCTGGAATGTAATGTATTGCAGATTTCCCTTTACTGTTTTCTTCAAAATGAATGTTTTTCATATCATAGATAATACATTTGTCGTAAAGAATCTCAGAAGGAACCCTCTTGTGATGCATGACGTAGAAATCTATTCGAATTTGTGTCTTGGTAAGATCAAGTTAGGGTCTTTTGGAGTGTGGTGTTGGTGACACTGATTTGTCAGTCAACGTCGGGCTGCTGGCGTCTGGGAATGGCTGCGTTTCACATTATGATTGTAGTTCGCGTGTGGAGCGGACGTGCAGAGCGCGTGTCTGGATTTTAGAACTTCGTGGTTGCGTGCTAGGCGTCTCGATAGTTTGTAAACATTCCATTGGTCGCCAAGGCACGTTTAAAATAAGCATCGCGTTCAGGTTACCATGTACTCGCGTAACCGGCACAACCTTATGGCAAAATTATTTATTGTATTGAGCGTAGTGTAACTGTCAGCTAAAACATTGGTTGGTGTCGATTGTTGTTTCGAAAATATTTGTCATTCTTGCAAATTCAGTTATTTGGCATAATTTATGTTGTCATGAATTTTTGTGACTTCTAGAAGTTTAGTTAGTGTATTGGTATTTGACAGAACACATTTTTAAAGTGACAGGGAGCGAAATTGTATCTTAATAGTAAATTATTGCGCAGATTATTGTGTTCAATGGCATCTGTTGTGGAGATTGATGGCAGTGTCCTGGAAGGTGTAAGTAACTAGTGTTTATAGGTTATTTAATATTGTATAGCTGGAATATCGGTGACAAGATTTAAACATTTTTGAATAAAAATACATTTATAAAAACTGTTTTGTGAGTTATGGTCTAAGAATATGTTGTTTTCAGGGTGGCCAGATTCTGCGAGTTTCTGCTGCCCTAAGTGTTTTAATGAAGACACCTATACGTATTACGAAGATCAGAGCTGGCAGGCCAAAACCTGGCTTGCGCCCTCAGCATCTTAAAGGTATACATTTTTTGGCACTAGAACTAATAATTTCTTTACTGTTTTTTTTTATGATTACTTGAAATTTTGTTTATTTCATAAAGAAATTGAATTAAAAATGGAACTTATATGACAAACTTATCTGTAGTTCATTTAGAAATATTTTTAAACTTTCTTTTGTGAAGTGAACACACTGTTAGAAAAGAGAGATTCATCCTGAGATTTCAAGATCCTAACCAACATACAATCTCACGCTATATATCTGCAAGGGGTATCCTCTAAACTTAAGAATGGGAGGAGTAGTGTCATTTAGACCTTCCAGTGCCTTTTAGTATGATTCTTATTATCTAGTCTGTGACATACTGTTAAATGCATTTTCTAATTTAATGTTTCTTTATATGTTCATTATTTCCATTTTTTATATATATTGTTTGTATTTGGTTATTAAAGAAATTTGCGTTAATGGGAGTCACTACTTTCGTTTATTGCTGTTGATATTATTCAAAGACCAGCAGAACAGTGGTGGCAAACATTTTTTTACAGAGGTATGAACAGGGTAAGTTTTGAGTGTCGAAATGCTTTTTAATCTTTATGAAGTCATTATTTTTTCAGTATGTAATGGATTCTAAGATTATTCAGAGGCTATCTTTCAATTTTATTGTTATGGTGGGACATAGATCAGAAATTCTAAAATTTTGAAAATTATTGATTTGGAAATGTTGACTTTCTGCATATTTACAACAAGTGCTTGTAAATTCCAGAATAAGAAACATTTCTAAGTGTTCATGTGGTTATAGAAGTAGGTTGAATTAGCAGTATTTCAAACAAAAAACTAATTCTGCTTTTTGGAATGAGATTCATTCCTGATGTTTAACATTTTTGTAGAAGTTCTTTAACTTCCCTTTCAGATTGAATAGAATTAATGCTTATTAAAAAATGGGTGAAAATATCTTGAAGAAAACTTAAATAAATTACACATCTTTAATAGCCTTGTATCTATAATTAATCCACATTCCAATTTTACACTACAGATTATCCCAACAAAGAAAAAACAATGTTACAAAATTTATTTGGCGCTGTGTTATGTTGTCATAGTGTATCGTTATTAGTATTGCGCTCTTTTATTTATGACAAGCATGGATACGGGATAATTACTAATAATTATGGTAAATTTAGTTAGTACCGAAGTTCTTTCCAGAGTTTTATCCACTTCGTTATTTTTAGTGACAAGTAATGATTAATATAAAAATGTATTTGCATGTTATTAGATGAAATAGTTTCCCAAATGTTATTTAAATATTTGAAAATGTGGGGGCTGAATTGAATTTTGGTACATCATTATGTTGAATGTCTCTGAGCATGTATGGCTCATACCTCCTCTCTTGTGTTTTGAGTTTAATTTGTGATCTGTCGGTCTTAATAAAATGAGGTGAATAAATTTCTAAATTGTAGCAAGTGAAAGTAAGTCTAAGAAAACTCTTAAAAATATAGTTCAGTTAATGCTAATTATCAGTTATCTTAGATTGTTGTTGTTGGTTGTTTTTTTCTTCTTTTTTTTCCCTCTCTCGTTTTTTCTTGTTTTCTGTATTTCAAGCCCAGTCCCATATTCTGCTGTGTTATCTTAATTAAATTTTTTTCTGTATGTTAAATTCCTTTGAGAATTTATTTAAATAAGGATGTAAGTTGTGTGTTGAAATAGATTTGAAGACAAGAAGGAAGGTTAATTACTTGTATGTAAAATAATATATACTTAACCTATTTATTGCACTAATAAGTGCTGCTTTCAAAATGTTTAGGTCTTCTAAGTTCTACAAGTTTAGACCCATTATTATGCTTTCAGAATTTGTCTCGCATGGTATAGCTCTCACTCCGTATAGCATGGGGTGTATATTTTGTGATTATTCATTCTTTTCTGAGAGGTAACCTAATGTTTCATTATACTTGATTAAATGTTTGTAAAGCCTTTCCTGATGCATTCAGATTGTTGTACAATGAGCATGTAGCAAAAATGAAACTAGTATTCATGTCATTGTAATCGCATCAGCACAACTAAACAGTGTTTTTAATTTTAAAAGACAATATTTTCAAAGTTCATTGTGGATTTTATTTTGCCAAATTTTGGTGAACCCTTTAAGAAGCATTGATAGTATGGATAATTTCCTTCAGCCCTAAAAAATAATGCTCAAAATTGGAAGATTTTTCCGCAGTTATGATTCTTTAAGACCATTTTTACCCAATTTTATGTATAATTGGAATAAAAGTCCAATTCTGTCCACTAAGTACCCGAGGTATTGTACATACTCTTCAGGGCAGCTTGTCGGTGGGCGATTTTTCAATGTAACCCATCTCTGTTTTTTACATCTTTTACAATACCTGATACTCAGTTTTTTAAAATGCCTTAACTTTTGAAAAATCATGAATTTCAGTTTTCTCCTCCTTTGCTTTGAAGGGAATCATCCTACTTCAAAGTCCATTAACATATGTATCAAATTTCATTAAAATAAAGTCCATGTGTACTTTGAAATTCATGTTGTTGTTTTTTATTAAAAACATTATTTTGTTTTCCTCATGGAGTAGGGAGGTGGTGCAGAAGGAGTGAATTCAATTTTCACCCCTGCACTATTATTAAAAGAACATGTATTTTTGAAGGAAAAAGTTTTGTCCATTTCAAATAAAAATTGTGGAAGGGATAATCATTTGAACTTGGTCTCTTTTCTTTGCTCCCTTTATTTTTTTATGACCCATGTTTGATTGTTTTTTTTGAAAAGTGTATATATTTATTTAATACAAATTTATGGAACAGTATTGCTGTTCATGCCAACACAATCATTCGTTCTTGTGGTTATGTAATTTTAGTAAAATTCTTACCGTTGCCAATGCACTGGCCTCATTTCTTAATTTTTTTAATAGCTCCATCAACATTTTTATGAATGCTGTTATGAGTTCTCGTTCTTGGCAAGTGATATGAAACCAATATTTTGTTTTGGCTGGTGTTAACTCAATTTCATTTGTCCTTTCTTGAAATGTTGGAGTAGTTTTCTGTCATCTGCAGATTGATAGGCTGTAAATTATAAAAATAGTAGCATCTTCAATATGAATTATTGAACTATTTTCTCAGGGAATACTTGTGGATCAGTTTTTCAACTCTTTATAACTTAATTCTACCTCTGATCTGAGAATACTGAAAATAATTTTAGAAGTTATATTTTACTTTTCAGTCTCATTCCTTTTGAAACATCTATTCCCCACACACACACACACACACACACACACACACGTCTCATTCCTTTTGCATTCCTCCTCCATGGAAAGCTCCCTTCATTGAAACATGGTAATTTTCCATAACATTTTTTTGAGGTTGTGTAATTTTCTTTTGCTTATTTGTGGTTGTAGATAGAATAAGTTTGGTTTACGTGATTAATTTGGATTTCCCAGTTGTTTATAGTGTAACTGTTGCATTGTATTGAAGGACCATTTCCACTTTTCAATACCTTCTTAGTGCCTTTTGTTGCCTTAGTTGTAGTAGTGGTTCCATCTATTATGTCTGTTGTAAAAATTTGGAGGTTCTGTACCCAAAACCATTGTGATTGTGGCACTAATAATGACATAATGAGGCTTTTTTATTAAAGCAGTCTGTATTTCATTGACTTGGAGGAAATAGGAAAATTTTGTGGTTGTGGACATATTTCATTTTAGAACGTTGCCAATTCCATAGCCAAATGTAAAAGTGTTTAAAATAAACAGTGACAGTTGAATAAGACTTTTAAGAAGACTTACATTTAGAGATTGATTTCTTCCAAAACATGACAGAGGGGCATTCTGGCACCTCCTGAACAAAATTGGTAAATAGCAGAGGACATACACTTGACAACTTCAATTTTTAGTTGGACCAACATTTGTAAACTCAAAATAAAATAATTTTCCTTTTAATTGTATAATTTCTGCAGATCTAATAAAATCATTAGTAAAAAGCTATAAAATATCATTATAAAATCTAAGTTTTTATTTACTATTATTATTGTTAGTATGTGTGATTTTTAATTATTAAATTATATTAAATTAAGTACATCTATTTCTATTAAATTAATTTGGGGCAAATTCCTAAATTTTATAAATTCAGCATTGCTTAGATATATAGAGAAAATATTTAAATCTTCTATGAAAATAATTGAAATGACAGGGGGGGGGGAGTTCTGCTAATGTTTACAAATTGCTGCTTATATATGTATGAATCCTTCATATTTTGTCATCAGCTATCACATTTCCAACAAACAATCCATTCCATATTCAGTTTAGATCCTTTTTACATGAAAACTTCGTAGCATCTTTTTTTTTTTCCAGAAAAACCCTTAGAAGAGGTACGTTAATTAAAGATACCTTGAGTATCTTGCCCAGAATTGTGCATAGAGTAGTGAGCAACAAGTTGTAATACCAAATAAGATAATTATGTTTCAAGTGTGTTGAAAAAGATGCCCTATTGTTGACAATGGAATTTACAAAAAAAAAAAAAAAATTTACAGATTATAAATGTGTTGGAGAGAACCTTCAACACATCAATTATTATGTGCAGAAATTTATTGTGAAGGAAAGCTGTTCTACCTCAGTACAATGTTAAGATATATTCATTGTCATCATTATAACTGTGTAGTGCAAGTAGTTTTAGATGCTTAATGTCCCTCTTTTTTGTTATTAATGACAGCAGGATGTTTTTTGACACTTGCCATGCTTTAAGCCTTGAACGTTCTAGAGATTGAGAGGTTGCAAGTATAATCGCTGCTAGGTGCCAGAGATTTACCTCAGATGTGTTCAACATTGGTGAGTTTGTGTTGTTTTTGGGATCAAATGCTGGCTGCTCTGATCATTGGTTTTCCATGGTTTCCCTGATCACTTCCTGGTGAATGCTGAAGGAGCACCCTAAGCAACGGGTCACAGACCTTATGTGATCCTTCTTTCCCTATCCTGTTCCTATTCCCATCCTAATAACCAAGTGATGAGTTGTTTATCTACATTCATATGGCCCA